CCTCTCTCTCTCTCTCTCTCTGACTTTCTCCCTCCCCCTCCCAAACCAGGAAGCACGCTCTTCTTTGTTTGAATAAAGAGAAGCACATCGACACAAAATAATGGTCGTTTTGTGCTGGGGAAAAGTAAAACAGGCAGACAGAAACAACAGAGAGGAAAGCAAAGAAGTAGGACCTACCAGTGGCGCCCTCCAACCACCCACAAGCACCCTCTTTTCGACACGGCTAGCAATTTATCTCGCCCAAAGGCAAGGTCTGCGAACAACAATAACTCAGTCGAAGACACACTTATACACCGTGACCCGTCTTCTGGTCGTCTTCCCAAAGCCTGTAATACCCCACGAATAAGCAGTGCGCCAGACCGTTATTCCTTCTCTGAGCCCAGTCGCTAACTTCCCCTGTGTTTTCGTTGGGCTTGCGTAAAAATATTGACATCGCTGCGGTCAGGGCCAATCACTTGTTCAAACGCAAAGACTCCCCACTTCACGTACACACACGCGCGCGCACGACCCGGGGACAGTCAAGGCTCTGAAAACGGTGACCCCGAGACGCGGACGGCTGGACGGCATGAGAGAATCTTGGGGAAAGGAGTCGCTAAACAGCACGAGCCAGGCCGAGGTGCGTCACGTAAACACTCAACTTGTTACAGTCGCGCTGCGGGGATTTCTTTTCTTCGCAGTTCCCGCTTGTGAAGGAATCACGGGCGTATGTTTACACGCACTGGGCAAATGCACGTTGTAAACACACACACACACACACACACATACCCACACATTAACACTCAAACATGCACTCACACACTCTCTCTCATCTCGTAAGTGTGATTGTAATTGTAATTGAAGCAGAAATTGTACGCCCCTGACGACACTTACTTAGACCATTTAGAAGGCTGGCTGCTTGACTCTGCCTGTGGGGGCAAACCTGGGCAGAGAAGTATGTTCAACTTCTCAGCACAAAGACCGAGATAACTGATACAAATTCTCTACACAAAGGAATCGAACTCACGTCATCTGCAAGCGATAGCGAATCCCTTTACCGTTACACCACAGACGCTGGTCTTTAATCCTTTAAAATATGCATTATACATAATATAATAGTAATAATAACAATGATAAGAGTAATAATAATAATAA